AGCCGTAGGTAGAACAGTTAACTGCATTACATGGTCGATATGAGTTACTCCTGCTTATATTCAGATTATATAATATGTCTCTATAATTATCAACTTCAAAGTCAGAGCTCATTGCAACTACCTCATTACTATCTATCCTATCAAAAATGATCCCATGACTGTGAAACGTCAGGAATTTTGATCTCGTTCCCAGTTCATCCATCTTACAGGCAGTTCTAAGAGCATGTGCTTCCACCTCTAAATGCAATGGTGTCATATTCAAAAGAACCTCCATTGCCCACCAGCAGTGGGAGTAGTGCTCATAGCTCCCGTCGTCATAAGGCATGCGAGCCTTTGAAGCTTGCCAAGCATCACTCAAGGCCTGCCAGCAGCTGCCCTATGCCACCACACCACAGCTGCTTAGAGGATTATAGGTCTATTCGCAGTTCTGTATAGCCATAAGGCCATGCTGGGTTTCAGCCCCCAAAATTTGCCAACAAATCTTTTACATGGCCATAAACAGCATATAGCCTTACCACTAATCTTTTCAATATGTATTAGCCAATTTAACTTACTATCTAAAGTAATCCCAAGATGTTTTACTTCACTACCAATATTTAATGTTATTCCATTTAATGATGGTGGTCCAATGTTAATATTTCTTCTATTAGTGAAGACACAATGGTTTATCTTTTGCGGGCTTATACTAAGGCCATTTTCCCGGCACCGTTCCTTCAGAAGTCTCATATTATTTTAGAGAAGTTCTGAGATGGTATCTGATAACTTACCCCCAATCGATATTGCAATATCCTCAGCTTATCCCTGAGCGTAGAAATCCGCCTCATTCAACTTAGCAATCAGGGAATCGACAACCAGACACTACTAAAGCGGAGACAGCACACACACCCCCCCCCCCTGTGGACCCCTCCAACAGGTATAAACCACAGTACAGATAATCCCAACTCAAATTTATGGACTATTCCCCTCAGAACCAAATTAATCCATTCTAAAGTCACGTGTCCAACCCCTCTACTTTGCAATGCCCTAGTCTTTATATCATATGGGGTACGATCAAATGCACCTTCAATATCAATAAAGATACCCGCAATTATCTCTTTTTGCGATAAACTTTTCTCTATTCTAGAGACTAAATAGTGCAATGCTGTCTCACAAGATTTGCCGGCTTGATAGGCAAATTGGGCACAGTGTAGCGGTCTTTCTACTAGTGTAGTATCCCTAATGTGTCTACCATCTTTTCCTATGCTTTCAACAGAAAGAGGTCAGACATATAGGTCTATAAGCTTTGGGATTGTCATAAGACTCTTTTTCAGGCTTAGGTATATAACAGACTCTTGCTTCCCCCCACTTATTAGGTATATATGCAAGTGCTAAACTTCCCTAAATAACTCCAAGAGACAGAGGTTAATTACAGATAGGCCCTTTTGTAACAGGGCTGAGAAAATCCCATCAATACCCGCTGATTTGAACGGTATAAAAGAATTAATTGCCCATTCAACCCTCCAAGAATTCACCATTCTTTTGGCTTCTACCCACTTATCTTTGCCACAGATGTGCCTGTTCATAGTGGGATTAACTATATACTCCTCTAGCATTTGACAGCTAGGAAAATGAGCACTCGCCAGAGCCTCTAGAGTATCATCTCCGGAGTAGGTGTTTCCTCCTTCAACCCTGACCGTGCCAATGACCAATCCATCTGTTTGTTTTGACAGGATTTTATGGACTCTGGACATGGATGACGTGTTATTAATATCACTACAGAAGTTTCTCCAAGCTCCCTTCTTTTGCATTGCGTGCAGCCTTATTATATTCAGTTAGAGCATGCTTATAAGTATCCCATCTGCCCGTGTTCTTGGCAGCATTAAAGAGTTTTCTAGTTATGGCTCTTAACTTGCCAAGTTCATAGTTCCACCAGGAAACATTCCTGTTGGATCGGACACGACTGATACTATTATTCTCAGTGTAAGACCTCATAATTCCCTCATATAATGAGGAGTTGAGGCATTCCAAATGCCAGGTATTCCTAATAGTCTTAGGACAGCATTTGACTTCTTCCTCTAGCTGTGTACAGTATCTCTCCCAATTTGTACGTTTTGGGTTTCTGTACACAGACTCATTCACATTATATCCAGACAGGTCAAATCTGATATAACGGTGATCAGAGCATGATTCTTCATTATTGAGAACCCAGATAAGAAAATTGTTGGACATTCTCAAAGGTGTAAGGGCCTAGAGGTATTCTTTGGTTTTGCGGATTCTCTCCTTCTTCTGTATACATATATTTTGTCTTGTTTTCATTAATGTGGAGCCCCATCTTAGCTGCAGCTTTTTGTAATTCAAGGAAGGTACCTTCGAGAGCTGCAAAGGACAGTGCAACCGTATCAATGACTTCAGCATAACCTCACAGTTGCACCATATTTGTAAATATCATGCCCCTAGTCTGAATGCCAGAGTCCCTCACCGTCTTCTCCAGAGCCAAATTAAACAATAAACATGCCAACATCCGTGTATACAATGTCCCAACTATTATATTGGCGAAACATCACAAAATTTAAGAAACAGGATAAAACAACACAAAACGAACGTAAAAAATCCGAAAAACATAAAATCCACAGCTTTATCCAATCACAGCATATTAAAAAAACACACATTTGATTTCAACAATATAAAAATTTTAAACACAGCACAAAACAATAAAATTAGAAAAACATTGGAATCAATTTATATTACTAAAAACATAAATAACTTAGTCAATTTTAAATCTGATGTTGAAAATATAAGCAAACATTATGTCCATATATTAAACGAGATAAAATTTTAATTATTCCATATTAAATGAGATAATTTTTTAATTAGATAGGGCAATAAAAAATATTAACATCAAAGCTGATAAGCTGATAAAAAATATTAACATGATCCCATCATTCGATCATTAGTTAATTTCTACCGAGACATACATCCCTAAAGATTTCATATGTACTGTCAATATTAAAAAGTAGACGGAAGAGGTAGTACCGTACTGGGTGCGCATAAAGTTTAAATAAACAATAATAATATTGACAAAAATTTAAGAGAGATGGTGACGAGGAATATATTTATTCGGTGACAATGGTATACTACAAATGGTAGTTCATGAAATTATATATTGAAATACATTATAGTATATAAAAAAATGTTTTGGTAAGTTCTCACTCGTTATATGACTTGATAATCAAAGACCAGAGTTGTAAATTATCTTTGTTTAATTTTAATTGTTATTTGTAGATGACTTGATAATGAGTGAAATTATTATTATAAATTTAAATTCATATTTTATGCTAACGGATTACTAATCACTTAATATATAAAAAAAAAGAAAAAATGTGAAATATATTCATTATTCATAAACTTACTGAGCCTGCAAATGACTAATCCTGAAGGAAGTAAATAATTCGAATACCTCTCTATATACAAATACCATTCTCGCTATGTTTAAATTGAAACCCTCAGATTTCTACAAGATCGACATCAAAAATTTACAAATCCTGGATGACTTTCCTTTGATAAAAATTCTTTTGTCTTTTTGTCCCCAGACATATTATATTGGTCAGGAAAAACTATCATTAAATAGAGAAATTTACTTTAACTGTCTCGTAGCCACCCTGTTATTGTACTTTTATCTATATATATTTTTTTTACCATCCTCTATGTTCTTAATTTTTCTATTGTGTAAATGTAATTTACTGTTATGGTTTTTCCACAATATATACAACTAATTCTGACACTAATTATTTATATTAGTTTCTTTTTTATACTTTTAAATTAGTTCTATGGCCCCGTGATCTCCTAATGTAGTCATATCATTAGAGTGCTACCATCATTGGGTAGTTACTCAGCAAGTGTATTCATGTCATTATATCAATTATGTCCAAATTTACTTGATGTATTTATGTAATACAACTGTAAATGTCATAAAGAAATTTAAAAAAAAATTAGTTCTGCAATGTATTGTCTCATTTTAATTTTTATATTTACATTCTAATTCTATGTACGGTCTTTCATTTTTATTTTGCATTTGCATTGTACTTCTATCTATTATTTCTTAATTTTATCTTGTATGTATATGTACATATTTATAATTAATTAGTTCATAGATACTGTATTTTTTCTTTTATTCATCCATATCTTCAAATTTTAGATATTGTGGTATTCTGGTTTTTGTTTTGCTAATAAATAGTAATGGATGTAAGGCCCACCATCCCCCAACCAGGTCAGCTATTTTCTCCATGTTTTCCCCAGTTTCAACCAAAACTTCATGCTACATACACGTTTAAGTTTACATTTTTTTTTTTTCGATATTATTTTTGTTTACTTCACACTCCCTTTATGTCCATTATTTTTTATTATTTTTCCTTTTTCTTTCAATCTTTCCTTGAGATCTGTAGGATTATATTGATAATTACATATATTATCCATCCTCCTTATTACATTCAATTTTCCTTATCTACAATATTTGTTACTATTGATTTACTTCAGTTTAGGGTCTGGTTACTTAGTTATACTTTGCTCACTCTTTTTATATGGTTTATTGTTCTTATTATTTCTATGTACTTTCCATTCACACTATTTATAATTTTAATGTGTTTATTCACATTGTTTATAATTTTTATCTAAATATCATGTAACTTCCACATTTTTCTATACTCTTTTGTATCTTGTTCATTCTAGTCCTAAAAAGGATCTGCAAAGTCGGGTTGAAATGGCTTGAAAGTTTTTTCACTATTTTAGTCTTTTTATGAACGCCACCCTGGACCATCTTCTTTTACTTGGATTTCATGCTTTTCTGCTAAAAAATGGCCCGTATATATGCACTTTTTTGTAGCTCTTCTGGTCTGCTATCACTCCTATAAAAATTTCCCTATACTTATCTACTCTACAGGGACACCCTGTATACATACATATATATACATTTATGCATATTGTACCATTAAGAATCTCCAATAAATAAATTATTAATTTTTCAGGTGAAATTGCAAAAGAATGTCCACCAAACACATTGAGGTGTAATTCCACTGCTGTGTGTATAGAGGTATCTAAGTTCTGCAATGCTGTGCCAAACTGCCCCGGAGGATTTGATGAAGGGGATTTCTGTAGTATGATTTACTATTAATTTATATTTTCAAAAATGTCCCATATTAACTAAATATTCAAATTCATTAAATGTTATAGGTGATTTTATTATATAAGTTGCCTTTATTAGTTTATTACCCTACTTTGTGTGTGTGTGTTTGTGGAATGGATTGATGTCATCTATGTGGATTTCTTATAGCAAATACTAGTATAGCCTTTATTTTATTGGTTTATTAAATTTTTTATATTTTGAAAAGACATCTTTGTCGGTAGTCAAATTTTTATATCGAAATAAAAATATCGATTCTTTTTTTAAGCATACTTACATCTTTAGAGTTATGTTCTTCTTGATGAGGCTAGAAGGAAGATTTGGCCTGTGCCAAAATTGCTGGAAAGTAAACTTTACTGGAGGACGTCAAGAGAAGCTCTGATTTCCTTGTTTTATGATCAGGCATGAACATTTAATTGGAATAATGAAGAAGAACCATACATATGATCAAAAACAAATACCTGCAAATTATAATCAAGAGAACTATGTATGAAGTTGTTTTTATGATTACTGTGAATACATATAATTTCAATTTATTTATTCTTAATTATAATTATCAACTTTTGTAAGTACCTTTGAAACAAATAAGCTGAAAAAACAATAAAAATTAAAAACACCTAGCTCTTGCGATAACAGGTTTCATTTTAATTTTAGGGTTAGATAACTATGTAAATTAATTTATTCTTAATTGTTTTTTAATTCCAGAGAAATGTCATTTCATTGTTGTTATTCTTAGGAGAGTAAATGTCCCAGAATAAAATTTACTTTTCTTTCTTTCTTCTTCCTGTGTAGCGTCCTATACACAAATTTTGGCCGATTTAAGAGCATAGCATAGTTGGCGCAACAATCCGTTAACGGGTCTAGGCCTCCTTATATGCACCTAGGAGGTATCGAGAAATGGGACTGATCCTCTGACAATGGGAGGCTCCATTGCAACATTGGTCCATTCTCCAGCGACTTTCCAGTGTACGGGATTCCCTGTTCCAGTCTATATTTGATTATAACGCCGAAATAGCCGAATGTGCGGAGAGACTGGGTGTAGATCAGGGCTACCGAAGCATGAGAGCTCTACGACAATCGCTGGCATTTGAATACCATCTTTTTTTTTTTATCCTATAAATTTCAGAAATTGTCTTATATCGGTTTTACCGAAATATGTATATATTGTATAATTGTAATTGTGTGTATTAGTATATTATAGTATTGATATTGTTTATGCTGTGTAATATGAAAAAGAATTTGTATATATATATATATATATATATATATATATATATATATATATATATATATATATATAAACATATGATTAAGTATAATTAAGTGCTATGTCCAAAAAAAAAAGGATTGATGAGTATGCTGTGTATCGAGCAACCCTATATAGTAGAGCAGCACTGCTTTAAATAAAGTATTTCTCTCTATTAAATCTTCATGTTCATTGTTTTAAAATTTATTTTTTCTACCTCGATAAGAAATAAACATTTACATTATTCTTTTAATTTTATATAACCATCATTTATTTTCACAACACAACACCTTTAAATGAATTAAAGTTTAAGATTAAATAACAGGTGGGGTGAATAAATACCCGTATAAGATGGCCTCAAGAAAAAGAAAACTTTTATTTAGTTGTTACACTTATATTATTGTCTGTTAGTAATCAAATATAATATTTTCCATCTCAAATCTTTGTTCTTTTTAAATGACATAATAATTTCCTAAAGGTAATTTGAATCTAACAGTATTCGGTTGAACCTTTATGACATGATCTGTATCAGTTATTCTTAATATAATCTTTAAAATTAATGGAAAACAACTATTTTTTTCGTCGAAGAATTTAAGGAAGCATCATAAATATTATCTATGGTCTTTAAAAATTTATTGTAATAAAGATAAAATAAAGGTTTGACCTTCAGTTTACTAAGCAATATAAATTATAAATAAATTTTATAGGCAAATGAATCTCTATAAAAACTGTTTATTATTTCATAAGAACTATTGTAAAATAAATATTTATAATAAATAAACGATACATTTGTACAATACATTATTTTAGTTACATATAATATAAATATACCATACATTCAATAATCAGAGCGATCTGGGATCAGAGTATTAACACATGAAGAAGAAAAACCAATAAAGGGAGGTCATGTAGCCCGGAACAATCAATCTGGAAAGAACAAATACTGCTTTTAATATCAATTCCAGAAGAAGAAGGCTTGCAGGTATATACCCATGGGCCAACTACTGAAGCAAGATGAAACGGAGGAGTGGATATGTATTTCTTTCAACATTCTTCTGGACGACAACTCTTGGAAGAGCTTCTCATTAGGGGTGTCTATTGTGGTGCTGCAATGGATCCCATAGCCAAATATGGCTCCCAGATGGTCATGCCTCTCCCTCAGTGACCAAAATTTCTTCTACTAAAAACAAACTGAAAGATACACTTTTAGCAAGAGAGCACAGAAGGGAAACAGTAGACTTCTCGACATAAATTGTCCCATTCCACCTGATCTTCTCTGGCATAAGTCAGTTGCTGCTTTCCAATACATCACTATCCATGACTATTTTAATGCTCATCTCCACAAGATTAGAATGAGAGATGAATCTGCTCATTATGCAACACATTCTCTGCCATGTCATCAAATCATTTATTTTACTGTTTTCGTCTAGAAAAAATATTACAGAACTTCTCTTCTGACGATACTGATTGGTCAGAAATGGCAAAACTTTATTGGGCTGCAAGAGGTTTTATGGTATATTATGGTCTAGAGATGGAAAAATCATGACCATCCGGCATAAGAGAAAATAAAAAAATAGTAATAAAAAAATGTTTTAATATAAGCTATCCCACAGCTTTGAAAAAAGAAATGACATTCATCATATTTGTCTGTCATCATTGTTATACTGTAATAATATTAAACATTATTGCTTAAAGTAAATTATAGAAAATATGACAAATATTTCTTCTTCTTTTTTTTTAATGCATGAAGTTGATAAATGTATAAATCATATAAGATTTCTTACAAATCAAATATTGGTTATGTATATGATGTTTTATATAATTCCTCATAGATGAGTCTAACTGTCAGAAAAAAGGCTGTACCCATGGTTGTAAGGAAACCCCAATGGGCGCTAGATGTTATTGCCCTCATGGTCAACAACCTGCCCAAGATCACTCAGAACAGTGTACAGGTTGGTACATCATGGTTCTCATTATATTTTTTTTTATCTAAAAAATTGGTTTTGTATTTAATGGTTTTATTTTTCCTTTTTTCCAGATTCAGATGAATGCAAAATTGATGGCTCTTGTGATCAGCTGTGTGAAAATATACATGGTTCTTATAATTGTTCCTGTGTATCTGGATACAAGTTGGTTAACATGACCAGGTGTATGGCCATAAATTGTGAGTATATTTTTTTTTTTAATTATCTCGATCAGGGTGTACAGCGACCGGGAAAACAGGGAATTGTACAGGAATTTCTCAAACCGGAAATTGTATGAGAATTTAAAAAAAAAAATTAAAATTAAAGAAAAAGGAATTTTAAATTTTTTTTTATTGTTTTGTGACAGTGAATGTTGTTGTATTTACATACGTAATAAAGAATATTGTCGTATTCACATAATCTTAAGAATAAATATTTTTATTAATTATTAAATAGTCTTTGAACAGTCACATTGTGGCAGTATTTTTTCTTTGAAGTCATTGACATTATTTGGTTTTTTCATGATGAAAATAACATCTATCTCTATGGGAGCCAGGTATAGGATGCCTGGTGAGAAGGACATGAATTTCCGAATCTGTTAATTTTTGCAAATTTAATATGTATTATAAATTTGTGTGAAAATAAATATATGATAAAAAATCTGGTGCGCGCATCACATGACTTTCGCTTACCACCTACCCTCTTCTTAGCAGAAATAAGTATTTTTAGACAAAGGGGAAGTGAAAGTAAATTGCTGCATAAGTGCACTCCGGCCATGTAGGCCTATTGTACACCTTGAATCCAGTTACTACTTTCATTCCTTATCCAACTCCTCTAATACCAAGGCCACGTGGGCTATTCTTAGAAAACTGACCATTAGTAATACACCTCAGTCCTCGTCCAATTCCATTTCTGCTAACCTCAACGCTCACTTTGTCACCTGCCCTTTTGCAACCACATCTCCTGCATCCAGTCCGGCTCCTATGTTTTCCTCTTTTAATCCTGATCACTTCTTTTTTTACCACATTACCCCAGATGATCTCCTTAACTCCATTCGGAAGTCCCATATCAATGATTATGGTCCTGATAACATCCCAGTCAGACTGATTAAAGCTGCACTGCCATCCATTCTTCCGATCCTTTATCATATCTATAATTATCTCTTCAAAATGCTACCTTCCCTACATCCTGGAAAACTGCCCATGTACGCCCCTTAAAGAAGACCTCTAACCCATCAGCTCTTAATGATTTCCGACCAATTTCCCTTCTTTCAAACCTCTCAAAACCTTTAGAGCGACTAGTCCAATCCCAGCTATCCCATTTAGCATGTCATCTCATAGAGCACAATAATCTCCTAAATCCCTATCAGTCTGGTTTCAGGCCTGGTTATTCTACTCAGTCTGCCCTAATCAAAATTTCCCAAGACCTTCATACAGCCATAGATCAGCAGAAATTAACCATCCTTATTCTCCTTGACTTCTCCAAAGGTCTTGATTCAGTATACCACAACATCCTCCTAACCTAACTTAAAAATATCTCCTTTTCTTTTAGTTCCCTTAATTGATTCCAAACCTTCCTTACCAGTCGCTCCCAGTATGTTGTAATTCCAAATAATCCCCCATTGGAATCTCCACATCTGGCCAGAGGCATCCCACAAGGCTCTTCCTTATTCCCCACCTTTTCTCCATCTATATAAATGACCTCCCATCCTCTATCCTGCACTGTCAATACCACCTGTATGCCGACGACATTCAAATTTACCTCTCCTTTAATCCGACCAATTCCTCAGTTGCCTTTCTAAAACTCCAAAAAGATGTTAATAGAGTAAGTGCTTGGGCCAACCTCAACAGGCTCACTGTGAACTCCAAGAAGACTAAAGCCATCTTGATCGGATCCCCCTCACTCCTCAAATCCTTCCCAGTATCCCCCAATCTTCTCCTGAACAATTCATCTATCTTATTTCATCCTACCGTTAAAAACCTAGGTGTTACTTTTGATCAAACCCTCTCCAGGAAACCACTGATCTCCCGAATTTCCCGTCGCACTATCTCTACCCTAAAACAGTTTAATTGTCTGCGCTATCTCCTTCCATATAAGTCCCGTCAACTCCTAGTTTCCTCTCTTGTTTTTCCCCACTTTGACTATGGCTGTATGGTGTATGGTGGACTCTCAGGAGATTTCGAGATCAATCTTAAATGCCTAATGAATTGCGCATTACGTTTTATTTTCAGAATCTCAAGAGATAAGCATATTAACCAGTATTACATCAAATTGGTGGCTCTATTCATCCTATCGCCACCAGTACTTCCTAGCTACCTTTCTGTACCAGATCATTAGAACTCATCGACCCTCCTATATTTTTCACAGCTTACAATTTAAATACTCCATCCAATCCCGTCCCACTAAATCTCGTACTTCCGACCTCTATTCTCCTCTACATCGAACTGCTGCATTTGACAAATACAATCAGTTTTCTCTTTCAAATGTCTCCTCTTTAAATACCTGCTCCTTTCTCAATCTGACTGATTACAAAATATACCTAAAAGAACTATCCAAGTAACACCAGAGACTACTTCAATGTATTTAGGTTATTTTACTTTCCTATGTCTGTCATATATATAATAATAATAATAATAATAATAATAATACTTTATTTATTCTGGGACGAGTCCCTTTAGAATAATACAGGAAGATAGAAATGAGGGCTAAGGAGCCTCAGAGATATATAAATAAAAATACAGAGTAATTGAACAGTCTTGGTTAAAAAAAATAATATATATATATACACATATACATATAAGTTGCTTTCCAATTTTGATTAGTTGATAATAAAAGAGAAAAAAAAAAAAAAAATAGATAAACAAAAATTGGAGTAAAAATAATGAAGAACGAACTAATAATTTATGTACATATTTTCAGTAGTATCTATTTACGATTTTATGGGGACTGGATGGATAAGAAATGATTGAACAGGCGGGATTTAAAGGTAGGAAGGGTATTACATTGACGGATATGGGAAGGGATGGAGTTCCATAGAGATGAGGATCGGATAATGAACGATTTGTCGAAAGCAGCGGTTCGGTGGGCCCTTATGTATAAATCAGAAGACCGGGAACGAGTATTGCGGGAACGAACAGAGGATTTGAATTGAAGGAGCTCGGAGATGTATGAGGGACGGTGGGATTGGATGACTTGAAAGAGGAAGGATGCCAGGAAATACTTATGACGGTAGGAAGGATAAAGCCACTTTAACTCCGCGTAAAAATGGGAAACAGAGGCATCTCTTGGGATCCCGAAGATGAATCGTACAAAGCAATTTATCAAACGTTTTAGTTTCGCCTCGAGATTTCCAGAGAGGCCCCCATATACCGTACAGCAATAGTCAAAGTGGGGAAAAATTAAGGAAGTGACTAGGAGCCTACGGATTTCAAAAGGAAATAGGTGACGGGAGTAGTTAAGACGTTTTAGGATGGAAATAGTACGGCAGGAAATATTGGATATATGATTTTTCCAAGAAAGCGTTTGATCAATGGTTATTCCAAGATTTTTTATGATGGGGTGAAATTTGATGGGGTTATTATGTAGGAACAGAGTTGGAATAGTAGGGACAGTTTTAAGGAGGTGATTGGAGCCTATTAAGATTGCCTTTGTCTTATCCGCATTCAACTTCAGCTTGTTTGTTCTTGCCCAGTCACAAATTCCATCTAAGTCTTCTTGAAGTTTTTCTGTGGCAGATAATAGGTCGGAGGGCGGAAAGGAAAGGTATATTTGGAAATCATCTGCATAGATGTGGTATCGGGAGTGACGGATCTGGAGGGGAAGATCATTGATGTAAATAGCAAACAGAGTAGGAGAGAGAGAGGAACCCTGAGGGACACCACAGGAGAGTGGAAGTGTGTTTGAAGGAGGTTGATCAGGGACTACTACATACTGGGATCGATTGGAAAGGAAGGATTTGAACCAATGCAGGACACTGTTGGATAGAGGAAGGTTTTGCAATTTGGTAAGAAGGATGTTATGGTCAACTGTATCAAACGCTTTGGAAAAATCTAGAAGGATGAGGATAGTAAGGTTTTGGTGTTCAATGGAGTTTTGTAGGTCATGGGTTATTTTAAGGAGAGCAGATTGCGTTGAATAGCCGGGTCGGAAGCCAGATTGGCATGGGTTGATAAAGGAACGTTCCTCTAGGAAGTTTGAGAGCTGATTTTGGACAAGGCGTTCTAGCGGCTTTGAGAGGTTGGATAGGAGAGAAATAGGACGGAAGTCGTGCAGTGAGGTAGGATTGGCAAATTTATTCAAAGGTCAGACTAGGGTTGTTTTCCAGGAGGATGGGTATATGGAGTTCTGCAGTGAAAAAATGTAGATATGATAAAGAACAGGAATAAGGTCAGGAAGGGTGGATTTTATTAGTTTTACAGGAATATTGTCGGGACCATAATCATTGGTGTGGGATTTTAGGATGGTGGAAAGTAATTCATCATAGGACACGTGGGAGAAAAAGAAGTCTTCAGGATTGAATTTGTGATGTTTAATATCGAAAGTATGAGAGGAAGAGTGAGTAAAGGATAAGAAATGGTTATTGAGATCATCTGGAGAAAGATCGAAGGAACTACGATTAATGGACTCTGATAGGGATAGGTTGCAGAGTATTTTCCATTTAGATTTGGGGTCGGGAGCATTGGACAGGGCATTATGGAAGTAGGTGGTTTTAGCAAGACGGACTGCGGATTGGGTTCCATTGCGAAGCGCCTTGAAAGACACATAATCCATAGCTAGACGGGTTCGACGGTATTTGCGCCTTGCTGCATCTCTTCCCCTCATCATTTCCTTTATCTCACGGGTCAGCCACGGCGCAATGGGACAGCGTAAGGTTTTGGTTTTAAGAGGAGCGTGGATTTCTAATATAGATTGTAGGTTTGAGGTCAGGGTGGATACCATAGGATCAATGGAGTTGTAGGAATATATGGTGTCCCATTGCTGAGAATTAAGGTCTGGTTGAAGGGATTCTTAGGAAAGAAGGTTTAAATTGTGGTATGAAACTATTTTGGGAGTGAAGGATTTTACGGGTAGGTCGTATGTAATTTGGATCAGGTCATGTGATGAAAGAAATGGAACTGGGTGTTGAGAAGAAGAAAGGATTTTGATGGGGGAGTCAGAGATATAAAGATCTAACCAAGTATCGGAAAATTGCGTATGGTGGGTAGGAGAATAAGGAACAAGATGAAGATTAAGGGAAAACAACAGGTCGGTAAGGAAATATTTTTCGGGAGATTGTGAAAGCATGTTCACGTTAAAATCACCGGTAATAATAATATTGGTGTAGTTGGAGACCAGGTTAATGAGGGAAGATTCAAAGAGGTTGTCAAATGGAACACGAGGAGGGCGGTAAATTACTGCATACAACAGAGGAGAGGAAAGCGAGGAGATTTCAACGAACATGTATTCTATGTGAGGAGAATCATGATAAGGAGACTGTAGAAGGATTTTGGCCTTAAGACTGTCATGGATAAAAAACTGTGATAAAAAAAATAAAGTAAAAATATTTCTGGCGAAAATAAATGTATACAAAAATAATAAAAAGCTTCAATATAAATAAAAAAATAAAAAAGTTACATTTATATGAAAATAAAAAAACCTGGAGATAAAAAAAAAATAAAGTAAAAATATTTTTGGCGAAAATAAATGTATAAAAAAATAAGAAAAGCTTCAGTATAAATAAAAAAATAAAAAAAGCTACGTTTATATTAAAGTAAAAAAACCTGAAGATAAAAAAAAAATATAGTAAAATTATTTCTGGCGAGAAAAAATAAATCAAATGCAAACTCAGATTAACTTGTGAGCAACGTTCAGCTGAATACGTCAAGGTCACTCGGTTTTCCTATTATCACCGGTGGGTATCCATCTGACTCTCTGCAGCGAATTTTTCCTCCACTGAACCAAAATATTTTATTTTAGCAGTCAATTTCTTCTGCCTGGCTAACCAATAGAGATGCTTGTTGGTGGGCGTCATGGCTTCACTTACATATACGCGGTGTGAGTCATTCTCACTCCAGCCTAGATGTCGTGTGGAGAAATCTCTCTTAGTTCTTCGCTGCCGCACTAACTCATCTTTCACCGTCTGTCTAACAAATCTTGCAATAATTGGGCCTGGTGTTCCTTCCTGCTTGGGCTTAAGTCTTACGGCGTGATCAAGATCTTCCGGACTCAGCTTGATGCCCAGACCCGCTCTGATGCTAAGAATTGTGCCGGTTACAGTATATATATATATATATATATATATATATATATGTACAATTTTCTTGTCTTTTTCTCTCTTCTTTTGTATGTTTATTTTAATTAACTCTTATTGTAAATATATAATTTATTTATGACCACATAGACATGCAATCTGTATTATAATATGTCCTAAAGAGACAACATTCCCAGAATAATAAATTATATTTTCATTTCATAATTTGATGCTCTACAACTTTGATTCTATAAGTTTTTCCTCTTAAGGAACTCATTTCCAAGCTGGCCATTTAAAGTAATTTGTCTCAGTTTTTGAAAAATTTGGTAAAAAATCAGTGTTCGTTGACCGTTGTTAGCGACCAGACCACTTGACCAAATTATTAAGCTTAGGTACTTGTTCAATGTACAATTTAACGTTCTAAAATAGGAAAATTTTCGCTTTGATGCACTGTTTAGAAGTTTTTCGACTAAAAAGTTTTTCCTTGGTTGCTGGAGTTAGGAATTTTGGTTTTTACATGTTTAAAAACCAACTCCATATACACAATTTTTTTTTTTTTTTTTTAGAATGATATTTGGTTTATGCAGGTTTTCGAGTTTATCCTTCTTATTAGTAATTTAAAAGATTAAATAACTATGATTATTCAATTTTATTTATTTAATTCAATAATTTTTGTAGTTGGATTTGATGTGTTTGTCATTAATTAGTTTGAACATTTACAGTTCCTTCTACTGAACAACCAACTCTCATCTTCTCCACCGCATCAGACATTAGGAGGTCACAGTTATCTGGGGATCCTGCTAGTCCAACACCTGTTCTTTCACAGAATGGTAGTCTTGCACTAACTGTTGATCATAGAACTAGATCAGTGTATTATATAACCAGTGAAGGACTGCTAAAAACAGTTCACCTTGATGGCACTTCTTCTAAAACAATAGCTGGACCATCTTTCACTCTTAAATGTGAGTTTACTCATTTAATGTAGACATTAATTTTTATTTTAGTTAGTTTGATATGAAACATTGTTAACTGTATTCATGCTTGTTATTTATTTTCAATGTTTTTTATTGTATATATATGTATATATCATAGGTGATAAATAGTCAAGACGCAGTTATATTTAAGTTTCTTATTGGTGCCGACGTTTTAACCCAAGCTCTAGCATGTGGGTCATCATTAGGGCTGAAAATTGTTTAATACAATCAGAGATATAATATTATAAGACAGATAATGGTTAGTAATGAAAAAATAGTGATGGATGATACATGAAATATGTAATAAGTTATACAAATTAAAAAACAATGTATATAATCAATTTATAAGATATGTAATATTTACTCTTACAAAACGTGTTTCGACCACTGAAAGTGTTCGAGTATTGGCACTTAGATGGGAAAGTAAGAGGGTTTTCCAAATGTGCTTTTAAGATAGCATTGGTTGGTAAACAAAATAAAAGGGGGTTATTATTTTTGTTTGTGGAGTGCAAATAATTTGATAAGTAAAATATTTAAGGTAACATGTGTAAAATCGCTAAGTTGTTTCTTATAGTTAAAAAATTATGACTATTAACTTGTAATGAAATAAGAGAATATAAATAATTAAGTAATATATAAATAAAATATGATGGTCAGTACAAACATAAAACAGTTTGAGTGAAGGTATCAATAGTTCGACAATTAATGTATAGAATGCAGTCGATTGTAATAAATTTAAATGATAAGTAGTACAATATATTATACAATATTTTTTATGGTATCTTTTAGAATAGAATAAAAATAGAAATATCAATTTTATTGGTTGATTAGAAAAATCAACTTTATTCTGGGACTAAGTCACTTAAAAATAACAATATTGTTCATAGAAGCAAATTATTACATAAAGAATTAGATTGTACTAGTAGTATAAGCATAAACATTTTTGTGCCTTGTTTATAGTAATTTGTATTTATTTTTATTAAGAATAGACGTTATTTATATGTACACACACACACACACACACACACACAACCCAAACCACACGTGTATGGAGATACTGTATTACTGTATTCCTGGTATATTTGCCTCGAAACTAGCCGAACATGCCATAACCCATGACCACACATTTGGTTTTGATAACCCATCCATACCTACCATGGTTCCCAACCACCAAACACGACTACTATCAGAAACTATATTTATTAATTTGGGAAAAAATAATCCAAGAAAATGTGTGAAGACAAATGAGTTCAGTGCCACAAAGGAAGAAACATTGTATGTAGAAAAAAGGTTAGCTTGTCAATTCGTACTTGACTTTATTTTTAAACCAGTGTTCAATTTTAATATAAATAGTGTAAATAATAATAATTTGTCTGAGTTGATCTGATTGTCAGTAACCCACACCTGAAATAAATAAATATATTAATACTCTAATAATTTTGCTTTTTATTTAACAACCTCTTATTTTTTTTTTTTTAAGTATCTTAAGGGTATAAAGTGATCTTCTGAGGTTATATTATTATTATTATTTTAAAATATAAGAGGAGTGTTACAATATATATACACTGACAGGTAAACAATTCCACCCACTTGATTTTTCCATATTTTCATCTAAAAATATTTCTGTAAAGTTGTATTTGTATATAATACATGGTATTTGTAGATAATACTTAGTATTTATGGAATTTTATAATATTTTTTACCTTTAACCTTAACCTGTACCACTACAACCCATGAAGGGTCTGGGGTTCAGTACTATTTAGGGAAAGCACTGTTTCTAGGTCAACGGTTGTGCAAGGAGGTGATTTGACCGAGATCACGCTCAACCGCCAGGTTTTCCCCCTTAACCAATTACTTAATTAAGGGTACCCACTTTATAGAGGCTGGGTGTGTCCCAGGAGGGACTCCTGACCCAAGGTCGCCCCATGGCCAATGAAACAGATAAATAAATTTTCTGCCATGAGCCGGGGTTCGAACTCGGGACCCAGTATTGGAAGCTCAGTGCCCTACCACTGAGCTACCCCGCTCCTTTATCCCATAAATGCTCAATAGGGTTTAAATCTGGAGAACGTGCTGGCCAGGCTAAAACCTCAATATTGTTCTGTTGAAGGAACATCTGTACTATGCGGGCGAAATGTGGGCGTGCATTAGAATAGAACGATCGCCGATTTCATTGAGGATAGGCAACACATGAGGTCCCAACATCTCATCTACATAGCGAATGGCCGTCAAAGACCCTCCACAAATAACAACCAATTCTGTGCGGCGCTCCATTGAAATCCCAGCCCACACTATTAAGGAACCATGTTGGAAAGGTTGGCTCTGGGAAAAATTACAGGCTGCATATCTTTCCTTTCGTCTTCTCCAGACCCTTTCACGCCCGTCTGGAGATCGAAGAGCGAATCTTGACTCATCTGTAAAAAGTACTGCACTCCATTCGTCCTTAGTCCAATGTACAGAAATGTGCTGCAAGAAATGGCACTGAACTAATGATACTGAATAAACATTTTGATTCCATAGAAAGTAAACATTGGAATCTAGAATCATTTCAGTGAATTAAGGATTAAGGGTTATTGTCCTCTATATTAACATTCCTAATTGAAAACAAACAAAAAGATTACCTATTTATTCATTAAAAACAATAGACCAATCCAAAGCAGAAATATTTTTAGATGAAAACATGAAAAAATCAAGTGGGTGGAATTTTTGGCCTGTCAGTGTATATATCCAGGGTTAGGGCAATGGTTTCAAACATCAGAAATCAACTTGAAGCACGACCGTCTAAGATCAACATTGAAAAACTGAAGGATCTTGAGGTTAGACAACTCTTTACTGACAGTATGAATGTCAGAATTAAAGACCTATATCAGGCTGATAGCCTAGATCAACAGTGGCAAAAATTCAAAGAAACCATTGAAGAACTAACAGTTGGTATGCTTTTGGATATAAAAAGTGCCCTGGTTTGATGAAGAATGGCAAAGAGTGACCAGCCAGAATAACCTTGATTATAAAACAATGCTACAGCGAAGGCATACAAGAAGATCAGTGGAAGAATACAGATCCAGAAGAAGGGAACAGAAATGCACTTATCAGAGGAAAAAAAAAGAATTGCAGCGGGTATGGCTTCAACAAATGGAAGACTTCCGAAACAAAAGAGGTTAGAAAATTCTTTCTAGAAATAAACAGCAGCCGACAGAAATTCAAACCTAGAATAAATGCCTGTAGAGACAATGAGGGTGACCTGATCACAAATAGGATACAAGTTCTATAACAGTAGTGGCATTACTTCTATGTCCTCCTTAATGACATGGCAGAAGAAGGAAGAGGAGAAATGGAAATGGCCATAGGAGAATTGGAGCCCCCTGATATGGAAGATGTCCATGAAGCAGTAGAAGAGCTAAAAAATAATAAAGCAGCTGGACGAGTTGGGCTCTCTGCAGAACTGCTTAAGTATGAAGGAGAAGAGTTAATGAAGTTCCTCTATAATATAATAATGGATGTCTGGAATATGAAAAAAATCCCTTGCAAATGGTATAAAGCAGTTATATACCCAATTTACAAGAAGGGGGATGTGCTTGATTGTCATAATTATCACAGGTATATCCATCTTATCATGTGCTTATAAGGTTTTCTCTCGGATACTTTATAAAATACTGCTTTCTTTTGTCGAGCAGAATATAGGAAAGTACCAGACAGGCTTTATGGGAGAAAAGTCTACCATAGATCAGATATTCTCCCTCAGAATCATTCTGGAGAAGTGCAGGGAAGTGGTGTTATATCCACACACACCACTTGTTCATCGACTTTCGAATGGCCAATGATAGTATAAAGAGAAACAGATTTCTAGGATGGTCCTAGATAAAAGGATTTATGGGACAAGAAGAGTAGAACGACCTCGGCTCCGATGGATCGATAGAGTGGCGGCGGATGCCAGGTCCATCTTGGAATCAGCAATTGGAGAGCAGTGGCAACCAATAGAGAAGACTGGCAGACCAAGCTACGGGAAGCCTTAACTCTACAGGAGTTGTTGCGCCATGGATGATAATGATTATATATATAGATAGATAGATAGATAAATAGCTTAGATAGATAACTTTATTCTGGGACTAAGTCTAAGCTATTAATATAAGAGCTGAAAAGAAGAGGAGACATGCTTGAACCCTTTGCGACTCCAGAGGATAAAGGAAAGTAGGCAGATAGAGGTTGATTAGGTATGGAAACTGCTTGGGTTCATTGTGAGAGAAAAGACTGAAACCAAGAGATGGAACTATTGGAGAAGGATAATGATTTTAATTTGTTGAAAAGGATGGAATGGATATTGGAATCGAAAGCTTTGGAGAAATAAAGAAGTATAAGTATGGTTAGTTTTTTGTCATCTATTGCAGTCTGAATATCACTGGTAATTTTAATCAGAGCAGATTGTGTAGAGTAGCCAGGACGGAAGCCAGATTGGAGAGGATCGAGTTGGTTGGATTGTTCAAGGAAGTTGGAAACTTGGGATTGCACTAACCTTTCTAGGGGTTTAGAAAGATTAGAAAGGATTGATATTGGGCGGAAATCTTCGGGAGAGGATGGATTAGGCTTTTTGTTTAAAGGAAGGACAATATATATATATATATATATGTAGACGTTCTCGTGTTCCCCTTTACTATGCTGAGTTAGGGTGGCTCTTCCACTCCTTCAGAAGACAATATTTCCTAGGCACATTCCTTTACCAAATAATCTATAATCATTGACCTTCTGACCTTTGTATCTCTTTCCACAAATCTGCCTCATTTCAACACCCCTTTTTGGAATTCCATCCCACTTAAAATCCGCCATGCACCATCCTTATCCATATTAAAAACACTTATTCCAATTCCTTCTTAAAATTCAATCAAATGCTGATTAGTTATCAAGATTTCTCTATACATCATTTATATATATTGTTTTTTTCTTTTATGAGTATGGAAAAGATTTCCAGTCATTTTTCACTGAGAATTGTTTGTTTTGGTTTTCTGTTCTATTTATAGGATTTTAAGTCTTCGAAAGGTTTATAATTTTTTACTAATATTGAGCACACTCCTCTATATGTATATTACCTTTTTTTGATCTTCTTTTGTTTTCTCCTATCAATCTACATCTTAGTATATAGATTATACTTTTCTAATGTTTACGATATCATTATAAGTACTCATTTAAGCATATTAAGGTACAGACATAAATCATTTATTGTAAATATTTATCTACTTTTTTATTATTACTTTTACTTTTGTACCTATACTAGGTAAGGAAAGTATTGCGATCGGGTCAAATTTTTGATGTGTGGTTTTTGACGGATCTATACGTTTCAGAGCCCTCTGACTCCGAAAAACACGTTTTTAGCCATTGGTCTGTCTGTCTGTGCGTCCGTCTCTGCCAAGATTTTCTCGGGAACTAGTGGACCAATTTTGTTGTTTCTTTTTTTATTTTGTAGGATTTTGACTACTGATGCCTGTGACACAAATTGAGTGCAATAGCTGCTGTGCAATAAATGAAAAACATATTTTTCCATAGACTGTAGCACGAAAACGGCTCTAACGGTTTTGGTGAAACTTTCCTATAATGTTCTAATAATTGTCCTTTCACTTTTCGTACCTGGACTAAATTCCCCAAAAAATTCAAGAAAAATGGTTTGGGGCCTAACTCGCTAAGTATATATCCTATGGTAAAATTTATAATAAAACATTTGAAAGGTAATTTATTAAATTTCCAACAAAACAAAAAAAAAATCATTGGAATCGAACCAGTATTAGCGACGATACAGCATGTTCTACTTTCTACACATGTTTTAATTTATTACTTTCCTACCTATACTAGGTAAGGAAAGTATTGCGATTGGGTCAGATTTTCGTTTCAAAGCCCCTGAGTCTGAAAAACACCGTTTAGCCTGTTTGGTTTTTTTTTTTTTTTTTTTTTTTTTCAGGTAATGAAATTCTCTACTAAACTATATAAAATCATTCATTTCGGACAACTATTAATGAAGTTACAGCTATTCAATTTCCAATGTAAGATTATGGGTATATATCCTGGTGTCAGAGATAACTTGGTGAAAGTAAGAAAATCTGTTGCCTGCATCACACAAGCTCCACTATTACCTCTACTTTTAACAGAAATTATTTTTTGACAAAATTAGGCTATGGCAAAAAGTTTTTGATCAGCAATATTAGTGGGTATTGAAATTTTTACACTGATCTACCTTAAGCCGGTTTACATTGCTTTAGTGCATTCAAATGCACAATCCTTATTTCCTCTATAATGAAATCCCACACAAACTCCATCGGACTTGATGGAATACCAGTCAAACCGTTAAAATTATGCCTTCCCGAAGTCCTTCCAGTTCTCCTTTTCATCTATAATTTTTCCCTCTAGAACTCAGTTTTTCCTGCTGCTTGGAAAAAAGCATTAGTCAAACCTATTAACAAAATCCCCAATCCTACTTCTCCCAAAGACTACCGCCCAATCTCCATTCTTTCTAACCTTTCTAAACCTCTGGAAAGAATAGCTCAATCCCAAATCTCTAAATTCCTCGAAAACTCAAAACTACTCGATCCTCTCCAATCTGGTTTTCGACCTGGCTTTTCCACACAATCCGCATTACTAAAAATTACCAATGACTTACACACCGCAATGGACGAAAAAATGTTAACTGTGTTAATACTTCTCGACTTTTCCAAAGCTTTTGACTCCTTAGACCACTCTATACTCTACACTAAATTAAAATCTCTATCCTTCTCCAACAGCTCTATCCTCTGGTTGCAGTCTTTCCTATCCGACAGAACTCAAGCAGTCAGCATTATACAACAGCATTATACAGCAAACCAACCCCTTTCTTCCTTCCTCACACTGTCCTCTGGAGAGGCCCAGGATTCGAGCATCTCCCCTCTCCTTTTTAATTCCTACATAAATGATCTTTCTAAATCCATCTACTACTGTTCACATCATTTATACGCTGATGACTCCCAAATCTATTTTTCCTTTCATCCTTCTGAGCTACTAGTCGCGTTCGCCAATATTCAGGCCGACCTAGATAGGATCAGTGCCTGGGCAAGTCTGAATAATTTAAAGCTAAACACGATGAAAACTCAGGCCATTATTATTGGTTCCAGTCCTATTCTTAAATCCATCTCCTTCCTTCCTCCTTTAGTCATCAACAACCATCCTGTAACATTCAGCTCCTCTGTTAAAAACTTAGGAATCACCATAGACGAAAACCTCTCCTGGAAACCCCATATCGCCCTCATCTCCCGTAAGTCAATATGTACCCTTAAGCTATTTCATCGCTCCCGCCACCTGCTCCCACAATCCATCCGCAAGCTCCTTATATCCTCTCTTATTTTCCCACAGTTTGACTACGGCTGTGTGGTGTACTGAGGCATCCCGACGGTACTCGAGGATAGATTGAAGCGACTAATGAATACCTGCTTAAGATTTGTCTGCGGTACATCGAGGCGTTCTCATGTGTCCCACCTTTACGATGAGTTAAAGTGGCTCTTCCCTTCTTTACGCAGACAATATTTCCTTGGATCTTTCCTTTTCCAAACGATCAACACCCGACACCCTTCCTACATTTACAGTCTCCTACAGTTTAAACCCGTTATCCACTCCCAGAAAACAAGATCCCGTGTTTCCGACCTTTATATCCGTTCCCATAGAACTAAGACATTTGAATATTCCTTTATTGGCCGATCCACTACCTTCTGGAATTCCCTACCATCTGATATCCGCCATGCCTCTTCCTTGTCCTCATTTAAATATCATCTCTACCAATTCCTTGTTACATCCCAAAATGACGTTATACAATGAAAGAAATACTGCGAAACAGATTTTGGCTGAGGTGAATCATTACTAAAATTGATTAGGTTTTAATTTTAAAAATCAGCCCATGCTTATATTATTTTGTTTTGTTTTTCCATTTAAATAATGTTTTTTTTTGTTGTTTTTTTTCAAAATGGTGTTATTATTACTTCTTTTAATATACTTTTACTGAGATACTGTATATTTTCTTTTATATTGATTATTGTAATTTATGGCCAGATGTGGTTTTTATTTTTTTGTTCATAACTGTACAGTATGAGATACTGTTGTTTGGCTGGTGAATCACAAGGAGTACTAACGCTGTCTGACCGAGTCATCTTAGTGGACACGTTACTGGGTATCACTTGGTGACAATGATCATAAGAGAATGATCATGGTGGCGCATATCATAAGAGAAGAAAAGGGGAAAAAAAAGAAAAGAAAAATTTTATTATTTTATTTGCCTTTGGAGTCCTGGCAATGGCCAGCTTCTCCACTCATGTCCTGAGCTTCTGTGGCTGTAGTGCCCTCTTTCAGTCTCCACTGGCTTCTAATACTAGTGATGCGGCTGGAAAAGTGGCACTGGGATCTTCCGGAGTCTTGCTTTGCCTTCCGCGTGTGGGGGGAAAAGCCTGGCTTGGAGATTCTTGGGCGAATGTATATAGTTATGATTGTGTTTAGAAGTTTTTATTTTATTTTATTTGTTTATTTTTATTTTTTATTTACTTCTTATATTTATATTTATTTCTTTATTATTTGTATATATTGTATGAATGAGAACTTTTAGCCCTAATGCTTATAGCCCTCCAGCAGTGGCTGATTGTATTATTATTCAATAAATAGATTTTTTTTAAATTATTTTATTATGCTTATTTCATTGGTCCGTGCTTTGTTACAGTTATTATTATTTATTTCTTAGTTCTCTGTTACTGTTAACATTCTACCTGCTTTGTTTTACTTTAATATTCATTATTTTTACTTCATTTTAAGTTAAGTTGTTCTACTAAAAATTATTAGTCTTTACCTATCACCCTTGTTTTAATCTTAATTCTGTATTATTCAATGTTACTATACCTATTGCTATTTGGTTCTTTTCTCAGCCCTGATGAAGGCCTGAACTTTGTCGAATGTAAAAATAAATAAAATTATTTATTTTTTACCATTTCAATTTGACTGAACATCCCAACCATCCTTCTCTTCAATTATTATAATCCTTATTTATTATTAAGTTCTTAGTTGATATGATATTTTTTTTCATTAATTATACAATTTGTTCTTACATATAGATGATTATTTTTTCAGCTGTTACTCATGTAGCCCTTGATTGGATCTCAGGTAATTGGTATTTTTTGGATGACTCTAGAGAGCTGATATTTGTCTGCAATTCCAACATGAAGCATTGTGTTATTGTCATTGATGTTTCCCTTAGTAAACCACGAGGGATCACTCTTGACCCAACGAAAGGGTATGATATTTTCCTAGAATTTGTATTAATATTTCTATTTATTGTCATGATTACAGTTAAGTTTGGTTTAATGGGTGTAGTATTATAATCACACTTACTTACTTTAACTTAGACGACCAATATAGGCACATTTCTTTAGGCATATTTTCAGATTATCAACAGCCAATGCCTCTCCTATATGATCTTCTCCAATTCAAGTCCTCTGCCCACTTTCTTATCACAAAATCCTGACCATCTGACCATTATATCCCATTTCAAAGATCTGCCTCTTTCCAAAACTTCTTTGTTGCTCGCTCCACTAATCTCTGGAATTCCCTCTCTTTAAAAATCCGGCATGCTCCCTCCTTATTCACCTTTAAAACTCTCCTATTCCAATTCCTGTTTAAAAACCAGTCAGAAAATAGCAAACCACGTTTTAAGTTTCAATACCTTTGTTTAAAAACTAATTTTTTATAAATATATATATATATATATATGAAGGGTGTCCCGTAAGTAGGGGGAAATTTTTATAGGAGTGATAGTAGATCTCAAGACCTTCAAAAAAGTTCATATAAATAATTTTCAGCAGAAAAGTAGGAAGACCACACCAGACATTTAAAGTAAAGGTATGTTGATAATGACCAACAGCAGTCGTATGAGGGTTTTCTTCAGCCTGAGAATGGGTATTTCGAAAATTAAGAATCCTGTTTCTTGTAAAGCAAGATTCATCAATAACCAAAATGCAGTTCAAGAAGTTAGGATCTCGTGTTCATTGTCGAATTAACCACTGGGAGAAATTTCTGCGCTTGTTATAATCTTGTGTTAACAAATCCTCCCTACTATACGTGAAATGGATACAATTGTTGTTCTCGTAAAGTTCGCCATACGCTGGTAGAGAAAACATCCAAATGACGTGACAATCTTCTGGTACTAGTAGTAGGAGATAACTGAACAGTATGGAGTATTTCTTCTGAGTATTCTGACCGGTGTTTACTCGTATAGATTTTTGCATGCCATTATCTCTAAGGCGTCTTTCAATCGCCTCAAACGTTTTATATATATATATATCTGTCTGGCCAGAGACGGCAAGCAGTTCACTTCGTTCCTATAGTTTTTTCTCTCTAACATTCGTACCCTCTGTTATTTCTTCTTAATTTTTATATATATATGTTGTGTTTTTTTTTTTCATCACGGTCAAGCGAGTTTATTTACGTTCTTCATTTATTTATTTATTTATTTTTTTAGTCAATTATTAAAGATAAAGGTCGTGTTTCGCTAGCTGTGGATTGAGAAGCGGCTATTAATCCTTCTAAGCTTCTGAGTATTAAGGACCAACAACACGCATCTATTGACAAACACTCTTCTAGCGTGAGTAAATATTATTATATTATCACGAAAATGGTTCAGTGCTCTATTTGTGATAGTGCCATCTCTAGAGAGGACAAAACTAATATAAGCTGCAATAAATGTCAGGTTATCTTTCACGGTAAATGCTGCAAACTGGGTGATAAAGAGATCGAGACATTAAAATCTCAAAAAAAGGTATGGCTTTGTAAAAAATGTGACCAAGGCAAAAAGACATATCAAATTAGGGAAAAATCAGCCAGTCCACCAAGAAGTGAAATCAAGGAGCCGTCCGCAGCTGATATTTTCGGAGCGGTTAATCGACTTAGCGCCCAAGTCAATGAAGACATTAAAAATCTTAAGTCGTCATTAGAAAAATACGGGGAGCTCAGCTTCGAGTTAAATGAAAGGTTTTCAAAAATAGAAAATCATCTAGAGAGCCAAGCTAAACATCTGGAGGAATTGACTATGGAAAATAAAACGCTGAAATCCAGAGTGGGGGAACTCGAGGTACGATTAAACAGAGCCGAGCAGGGCCTACTCTGTAGATCGGTTGAGATCCGAGGCATTCCGGTACGTGCAGGAGAGACTCCTTCGGCCCTAGTTGCCAGTGTGGGAGCTGGTCTCGGTGTTAAGATTAACATCGAGGACATCGATTTTGTGGAGCGCCGTAGACCTAAAAAAGACGATCCTAGACCACCACCAGTTATAGCTCGCTTTGTGAGGCAGGCAGTACGAGACGAGCTGGTCCAAAGAAGAAAGGTCAAAAGGGACTTCTCAACTCGAGACATCGGCTGGCAGGAAAACGACTCCCACCGGATATACCTGGATGAAGAAATGACCCCTGCTAATAGAAGATTGTATTGGCTCGCACGTCAGAAGAGAGCGGCTGGTAAACTAAAATACGTGTGGTTTTCGGCGGGTAGATTGCGCTGCAGAAAAGGAGATGGCCATCCCGTGATATATATCGACCAACCAGATGATCTAGATGTTTTCTGCTGACCTTCTGATTTACGTCAACCTACAGAATGCATCCGTAAACTCCCAATCTTCTATTGTATAATACAGCATCGTGCTGGGTTGCCCATCTACTACTATTGTTATTATTGTTTCTCTATTTTAACCAATGTAATTTTTTGTTTTTTCCTCTTTCATATTTTTGAACTTAACTCTATTTTGTTTGTATTTTTTTTCTTCTCTTACAGCCATTATTTACTTCTTTCCAAATTTATTTTCACAGTTTTTTCTTACCTACAGCGTCATCCATCATATGTATACTTTTCTCCTTTCCGTTATGTCTAGCGTCTTAACTACTTGCCATGTTAATTCTCAATCCCTTCCTGCTCACTATGACGAATTTCTCCAATATTTCACCTGTAACTTCTACCACATTATTGCAGTCTCTGAAACATGGCTTAAGCCCTATATCCCTTCCTCTTCCGTTTCCTTACCTGATTATACCTTCATCCGTCATGACCGGGTTCCCCGGACTGGCGGAGGTGTTGGTCTCTATGTACATAATAGCCTGAAACCCCGTATTCTAGATATTTCATCCCCTTCCAATCATCCTCACATTGAATTCCTCTTCGCTGAAATTTCTTGTAAAGCACATCCTCTCCTTTATGTGGTCGTATATCGCCCTCCTTTGACTCCTTTTGACTCATCCTTCGAATCAACATTGTACAATTATGTCCCTTTCTATAATAACATTATAATTTCCGGTGATCTTAATACCAACCTCCTCACAGAATCCAACAACAAACGCTATTTGGAAAATCTCTTCTTCTCCCTCAACCTTTTTATTGTTCCTTTCGCTCCTACACACCATACTTGTTGGTCTGACACCTGGCTGGACTTGCACATCATCGATTCAGAGCAGAAACTCTTGTCCTGTTCTCAATTACCCGTTCCTTTCCTTTCTTCTCATGATCTCATCCAATTATCGTACGATATCCAAACTCCCACGTTTCTTCCTAAAACCATAACTTTCCGCAATCTTGACAACCTCACCCGTGATAAAATCCTACCGGACCTTGAAACCCTAAACTGGAACGATATTTATTCCTGTACCTCTATTGATCATATGGTAGACATCCTCACTTCTAATCTTATCCATATTCTTGACATACATGCTCCTATCAAAACCTCAACCTTCCGTCGCCAACCTGCTCCTTGGATGTGTCAAGAAATCCGCGACATGCAAAAGAGACGTGAGGCAGCCCGTAGACGCTTCAGACGAACTCGACTAGCAGATGACTATCAAGTCTATAGGGTACTCCGTAACTTGACACAAACAACGATCAGGAAAGCAAAATCAAACTTCTTTCACGAAACTCTCTCTTCTGCTCCTGATTCTAAATCAATATGGCTAACCCTTCGTAAACTCTCTCTTTGTAAATCCTCTTCCTCACCGTTCTACCCGGTATCACCCGATGAACTAAATTCCTACTTTATATCTTCCACCACCAGCAACAGTTCACCCACCTCTCACCAGTTTTCCTTATCACCCTCATTTAACAGTGATAATTTCTATTTCTCCAACATTTCACTGCCCGACCTTATTTCCTCTATAATGAAATCACACACAAACTCCATCGGACTTGATGGGATACCAGTCAAACTATTAAAATTATGCCTTCCCGAAGTCGTTCCAGTTCTCCTTTTCATCTATAATTTTTCCCTCCAGAACTCAGTTTTTCCAACTGCTTGGAAAAAAGCATTAGTCAGACCTATCAACAAATTCCCAATCCTACCTCTCCTAAAGACTACCGCCCAATCTCCATTCTTTCTAACCTTTCTAAACCTCTGGAAAGAATAGCTCAATCCCAAATCTCTAAATTCCTTGAAAACTCAAAACTACTCGATCCTCTCCAATCTGGTTTCCGACTGGCTTCTCCACACAATCCGCCCTAGTAAAAATTACCAATGACTTACATACCGCAATGGACGAAAAAATGTTAACTGTGTTAATACTTCTCGACTTTTCCAAAGCTTTTGACTCCTTAGACCACTCTATACTCTATACTAAATTAAAATCTCTATCCTTCTCCAACAGCTCTATCCTCTGGTTGCAGTCTTTCCTATCCGACAGAACTCAAGCAGTCAGCATTCCAAACCAACCCCTATCTTCCTTTCTTACACTGTCCTCTGGAGTGGCCCAGAGTTCGAGCATTTCCCCTCTCCTTTTCAATTCCTACATAAATGATCTTTCCAAATCCATCTACCACTGTTCACATCATTTATACGCTGATGACACCCAAATATATTTTTCCTTTCATCCTTCTGAGCTACTAGTCGCGTTCGCCAATATTCAGGCTGACCTAGATAGGGTCAGTGCCTGGGCAAGTCTGAATAATTTAAATCTAAATGCGATGAAAAGTCAGGCCATTATTATAGGTTCCAGTCCTATTCTTAAATCCATCTCCTTCCTTCCTCCTTTAGTCATCAACGATCATCCTGTCACATTCAGTTCATCCGTTAAAAACCTAGGAATCACCATAGACGAAAACCTCTCCTGGAAACCCCATATTGCCCTCATCTCCCGTAAGTCAATAGGTACCCTTAAGCTATTTCATCGCTCCCGCCACCTACTCCCACAACCCATCCGCAAGCTCCTTGTATCCTCTCTCATTTTCCCCCACTTTGACTACGGCTGTGTGGTGTACGGAGGCATCCCG